AACTCATCTCAAGAGTATGCTAAACATTTCCTTTTCTTAAATTCCAGGTTCGTCACAATTCTTTACTATTTGAACGACGTTGAGGAAGGAGGCGAAACAGCTTTTATAGTGGCTGATAATTCAACTCTGAACCAATCGGTGAGATCTTAACTTTAATGGACCTTTGTTAATGTTTAAGTATCTTAGAAAAAAATTGGCTTGTATTTTTCACGCTACTCATTTCCAATCCCCTTAATGTTCTTGATCTTTAAAAACCATTGACCTAAATCCTAGAGGTTAAATATTTCTGCAAGATCAGTTTCTTCTTCGGAAGCGTCAAACATCACAAGTACTTCACCTAGAATAATAGGTTATCCGCGGTCAGGTCTCCCCGACATGTTATGGGGGGGAGGGGAAGGGAGGCAGCATTTACACTCCGTGGAGGGGAGGGGGGCAGCATAAGAGTGGAGTAACTTGCTTATTAGTAACAAGCTTAGTTTGCGTTTGCTCACAAACTGCTCGATTCAGATACAGTCCAGCGCTGAACTTTATGTCGCCCCACCTCCCACGAGTTTAAGATATTTAGAATTTTAAATTAACAGATCCTATTAGCGAAACGAGGCCAACAAGGAGATCCCTATAATCTCAGTAACTACTGTCAAGACGCCAGTTTGGTAATAGCACCAAAACGAGGCACAGCCGTCATGTGGTACAATCACTACCTTGACTCCGACAGCGAGTGGCTTGGGGATAGAGACCCTTACTCCCTACACGGAGGCTGTGACGTCAGACGAGGACACAAGTGGATAGCCAATCACTGGATACCAGCACCATATGAGAATTACCAGCACATTCCCAGTATATATCGAAGAAAAATTAAAAGGGATCATGATTAATTAGATTAATATTTTAAATCGTGATCAGTAGAGATCTGTGGTCCACGCAATGGTGCAATTTTCAATTCAGTGTCCAAAGTAATTCGAGGTTTCTTTGGTTTTTCTCACTTCGCTATGTGAATACTCCTGCAGAAAACTCGCCCCTATTTCTCGACCAATCAGATTCTAAACTATAGCTAATTGCGTTGAGTTGGGTTTTACGACTCTCGATTGAACTGATGTTCTCTGTCTGAATTCAAAGAACTTCTTCACCAGCTATTCGGGTGATGAAAATATATAATCCTCTAGATTTATATTAGAAGAATTTATATAATGTCCGATTTGAAAGAATGTAAAGTTCAGATGTTTGATACCCTTAGAACGTGTTCAGGAAGTTGACAACATTTTTTGACGAATTCAAAGAAGAATTCCTGCTGGAAAATGATAAAATTTTTTTATGAATTCACAGAAAAATTGCTGCTGGAAAATAAATATTTTTTTTTATCAAAATGCTCATCTCTTCCAGCTGATTGTTTTAAATTCCAATGATACTCTCGGCGGAAGAAGAGTGACCAATTTTTCCCCATTTTACCACAATAGGTTTAATGGAAACTTACTGTAATTTTCGAGTCATAATCATTAAATGTTTTTTGATAAATTGCTGTTGAAATCGAGTACGTTTTCCTTGCATTCCAAGTTTATCAGGCTTATCAAGATTATCACCACTTAAATGAGATTTAGGATACACTATTCCCTACCCGCAAAATAGCATTGTGGCTAATTAAGGCGGGAGAGAGAGATAATTTTACTGTAGTTTATTTTGAATAGAAAGAAGAATTAGTTATTAATTTTATTACTTTGATTAGAAAGCCATGATCTCGAAAACGATACTTTGATCTTGCTGACACATCTTTGTGATAACAATTGGGCCACATGGAGTCCAATTCATATATAAAGTGTCGTTTTGATGAGATCAAAGTTGTCTATAAACAAATTTTAAGAGTTACTAAATTTTGGGCAAGTGCAGAAATTTGGACGAGAATTCGAACGTCCCATGGCCTTAGACATTGCACCTTCCGTTTCCCCCAGCGCATGTAGCCTACATTCCAAACATATCTTCCTCATTTGAGAGAAACCTGTCGACAAGTGAGACTTTCGTTGACCCAGGGTGTTAGGTATGTTTTCCATTGATGTCGTGTTACTCAAGAAGTAACTCAGAGAGTATCTTTTTAAATTGATTCCTCAGTGTTGCACTGCACATCCTCTACTGCGCATAAAAATCATGTGATCAGGCGAATAAGCAAGTTCGCATTCCTAGAACACGTCCGGTACTGTTTTTCAATCAAAGGACCAGAAGTAAAGAGGTAGGATGGTCTTTAGCTCTTGAACGAGCGCGGTGAGCTATATTTTTATTGCATAATTTTGGTGAACAAATTATCCCCTCTAAATTGGAGAAATTGAAAAAAAATATCGAAGGGAAAAAAAGATATATCGAGAAGCGTGTACGAAGCATGTTACTTGAGGATGCAAATTATGACTTTGAAAGCAACGACTCGAGAAACGTTTTGAGTCGATGTTGTTTAAAAGTGCAGGATTTTTCCACAGACTATACATTAAATCATTCCGATGACACGCTCGAGACATTCTTCCTATCAAGTTTTCAACTGCTACCGTAAAAACCGTTGCTTCCAGCTACCGCAAAATGCACCGTGAACCGATTAAATGGCGCGCGTGATTAGTGCCAGCACAGGCATAAATGGAGTAAGTTTGGCCCATCATATCTCTTAAACAAGCACGGTGACACATCTGTTTTATGGTAACAGAAACAGACAATGGTAGGGAACATTTAAGGAAATTTTAAAAAAAAATTGTTCGGCGATAGCCTGTTTTTCTGAGGAATCAGCTTAACTATTACGGTTTACTTTTCCACTGTTATGATCGGGGCGGAACTTACGCATTCAATGTTAGGAGAATCATTCACTGTCAGCCGAGGGAAAAATTAGCTTAATGGACATAAAAAGAAGGTATCCTGTCGAAAACAGAACAACCACATGTGACTCACATCAAAACAGCCAACGCGAACAGATTTTGTACCTGCAGAATGGCACCAGGAGGTTAAACATCGACATTCACTTTTTTTCGATCGCTAAACTTAGTAACAATCTTAGTTATGAATCTCACCAGAACGTCATTTTTTATGGTTTTATTTAATTTTTTCAAACTTCCCAAGTTAGAGGGCACTACAGTCAAAAACAAAATGTTCAAAGAACCGTGTTTTGAGGAAGATCAAGACCTCACCCAATATTCTTTTTTCGACGAGTCATTTGATAAAGACGGGAGAAATAGTTTTAAACTTGTTCATCTACAGGGTAAACGGGTGAGTAGGTAACTATTTCTGTTGAATATAATAATACAAGGAAGTAACAAAAGAAATAAGTTTTTAGCTACTCTCTGATATTTTTATTATTTCAAATAACTTTAAGGTATTCATTCAAGGACTGATTTTAGCAATCACTGAGTTGAGACTAACTTTCTTATTCATTTCTATTCAAATAAAAAGTGTTGCTAGGTTCATATGGTAGAGCTGTGGTCTTCGTAACACAATTGATATAACACAATCTATAAGAACATAACTTTGATTTTTAAAATATCTTAATGTGTAATTATATATAACAAACTGTAACATTTTGAAGTTGAAAACATAAGTTATAAACAATAACATCACGGACACGGTTAAGAAAACAAAGATGTCCTACAACCTGGTTGCTTTGACTGGCACCTGCTATATACTAAAAAAGAAGCAAAAACTTGTCTCTTGTGTAGAGAGCACAAAGCATTTCCAATACCTGGAGAGGGCGTCGGAAGATTTTTTGGGGAATCACATGGTTTTTAGGGGGTAGGATCAATCGTCTTCAACAGAATGTTAGGGGAGGGGGAGGGGAACGAAGGAAAATTGACTGCCAATGACTGGGATCATTAGAATACAACTGTTGTGACACAACCAAAATCTTCCGACCCCGAGGTGCGCGATAAGTAATGAGGGATCCCTAACACTCATTAGTAGTTGCATTTAATTAGACAGGTCACGTGCAATGGTTAGAGTTGGAAGAAGGAAGAAGTTACAAGTTGATCACCAGAGCTATGAGGCCATTATTATTTGGTAAGGTTATGTTTGAAGAATTTTTTGCAATGTGGCTATCATGAACAAGTAAAACCAACTGAAAAGGATTGAACTGTGGTGTAATATATACTGATAAAAAGTCGAATAAATATTGCACATCACATGGGTCTTTAGACTTAACCTTCAACTAAGATAAACATCATTACAACTGAAATAAATACAAAACTAAAAGAATTTAATACAGAAAAATTCTAAAACTGTTCCTTATCCTTAGAAATTCCTCATTTTCTAACCGATGACGAATGCGAGCACGTGATTTCGCTCGCAAAGGAGGCAGGACTCAGCGCTAGTCAGGTTGCAATTAAATTTGATGAGAAAGACTTGAACGAGGTCTTGAAACAAGTTGGTGGGTATGCTTAATTGCAACAATCCTCTGTTAAATATAAAATCTTTTCCCAGACAAGTGATGTAACGTGCTTACTCACGTTGTGCACAACGTGGTTTGATCTTCTGATCAGAATGCAAGTTTGGTATGAAATTTTTATTCAAAAGCAAAGGAGGTTGAACTTTTTCTCCCACGCCCACTGTATGATTTAAAGCTGAGAATTAATTGGAGAAATTTCGCGGGATTATCGAAATATGTACGTAAGCTCTCTATGAATGTATGGACGTTTACATAGTATGTGATAGTAATTTTTGCTAGTTTTCTTTCAAGACAGAAATACAACTCTTGACAAAGAGGATTATTTTGCACGAGACTTGAACGTCTGGGATAGAAACAAAGATAATGTTGTTGATATAGAGGAGGTAAGATAAATTATGGAAATTTCTTTAAATGAATATTGAATATTTATATGATTGATTATAAATGAACTTGTCAACAAAAGTAAGTGTAGTAGCATGATAACACAAGAATTACCTTTTAAATTACGCCAAATATATAATTTATATGAAAAATTATCGTGTTTCACAGCCATTTTTGACACCTCTCACTGGATGATAAAACGTGTTTAGATTGAGTGTCGAAGAACCAAACCCAAGGGGACAGGGACAGTTTCGTAAACCAATCAGAGAGCGTTTTAAAGCAAAACAGATGCAATTTCTGTTTACTCCCGATGCCCACTCGAAAATTCTCCTGAAGCCTAAGGGGAAGATAAGACTCTGCGATCTGAACACACGAGCATTTTCATTTTTTGTTTTAAGTTTTCATTAAAATCATAGCTCACTTGGCCCATAAAAGTTCTTTTTTTTTCACAGATCAGAAAATTTGCAAAGATGTATAAATCACTTCACTTGAAACAAGAGGAAATAGTTCAAATGTGAGTATGAAAATGGTCTAACATGTGACGAATTAAAATTTCCTCTCAGTCTCACTCAAAGCAAATGGATGGTATGATATCAATGAGTCACAATTTGTGGAATATTTCTTTTTATCAAGGTTAGAAAGCTGTGGGTTGGCATTCGATGATAATACCGAAGGTAAATAAGTAAGAATTGAATTGTGCCTTTGATCCAGTACTGACTACGTACTATCGTTTGAAGCGAAATCCTAATTATAGAGTAAGTGAATTAGATTTGGACCTGGGAATGAACTGTGTCACGTGAAGTCCAATTGGAAAGTGACTCAGTCAATAACAAAGTTTTAAGTCGATAGCACTTCTTCCTTAGCCTCAAATTATACGGGTCATGGACTAGAAGGAAATAACTTGATAATAAAGTTTAATTATTAAAAACCTTACTTGATTGTTCCAAGTGAAACTTATAACGTGCATTTACCTTAATTGCTCCTAGAAAAAATTACCACCAATTATTTAAGTGACGGAAATGTAAAGAAACTTCTTTCCTATATGAGTTTTCTGAGGACCTCAAGTCCCCAACATAAATTCCGGTACAGCGACCAGGCTTGGTTACGTCAAGACAAAACTGCTGACCACATTTTACGACGCCTTCATGAAAGGTTAGTATACGGTATAAAAAAAAATTCAAAAAACACATTTTTTGACGGCAGATCGTGAGTAAATATGGGGACTTGAAGGAGAAAATCGTAAATTGGACTTGTAAGTCCATTAAATCAAACCTCAATCAGTAGCCCATTATTTATGGGTAAGATTAACAATGTAAATGTCTTATTTGTTGCAGAATTGCTAAGTTAACGAAGCTCCCAAGAAAATTGCTTCAAGGTAGTGAATCAATGCAGGTAAAAAAAAAAATAGATCATGATAATCTTATATCGTGCCACTTTACATTTTATTTCAAGTTTACCCCTTCCTATGATTGTAGCACCTCGCGTCTATTTTGGAACCACTTTATTCACAAAGTATGAAAATAATTGGTTAAAATTAGATTCACTGCCGTGGAAATGGTCACGTTTTCAAGTTTTCTCATCAGACATCTGATTTGTGTCATTCTCAGGTCGTTCGCTACCAAACATCAGGTCACTATCATGCGCACTTTGACTCTGGTATGGATCCCAGCGTCCCTTGCTGTCATCAAAATGTGGATCTAAGGCCGCCTCAGTGTAGACTTTGCAGGTGAGCTGAGCTGCTTTGCTATAAATTAATTATACCTCATTTGCAGATATTTTCTTTACGTGTTAGGGTAATTTTGAATTCATTCAAACAGATATGCTCTTTTTGATTTGTTTCTCAGATTCGTCACTATTTTGTATTACCTCAATGACGTAGAGCAAGGAGGAGAAACAGCATTTCCTCTGGCGGATAATTCCACGATAACTTTTAAGGTAAGAGGTTAGTTCTACCCTAAGAATTAAATGTCCAGTTCAATTTTTTGTGGAATTGACCTCTATTGTTAGTCACTATCATCTTTATGATTTTTGTTTTTTTGACCGTTTGCAAGCACACCGGTCCGTACCGTAAGTTATACTTTAAATTTGTAATTTGAATAATTTCTTTCTCACGTACACGCTATAGGAGACTCGAACTTCATTTCCAAATAATGGCGGTTTGGTCACTCAGATTTTCCCAGGCTTCTATTTTTATCGTGATTTCTTATTTTCTTCATTTTGTCCCTTTGCATTTTTCTGATTGGCTGTTTCTCTTAAGACACTCAATCCAAATGTGCTCAAATCGAACAACTTCAAAATAAGAGATTACTTATATATCGTCAAATATTAGTACATATAATGACTAATACTTTATTGTAAAATTTGACTCAGGAGCTGCCGAATCCCGAATCAGACGAATTCAATCTGAGTATCAGTTGTCAAATGGCTAATCTTGTTATCCCGCCCAAGAAAGGTACTGCCATCATGTGGTACAACAATTTTATTGACCCGGACAGTGAACTTCTTGGGGACTTGGATGTCAATTCGATTCACGGTGGTTGTGACGTCATTAAAGGAGAAAAGTGGATTGCAAATAATTGGCTAACAGCGCCAACAAAAAACTCTAGACATTTTAAGAGTGCCTATGATGTTGGGTTTGATTGACAAAGCGGCAGCAAAAGTTCTTAGAAAAAAAATCCGCTGTGAAACACCCCTCCACATCGCCAAAGATTGATTACAATCCAGCAGACGGGAAAAGAGGAAATCAGTCATTTATAAGCTTTGATGATTCCCGATTGTTTTGTTTTAAGGGCTGCTAAAGTCTATTACGTCACAAGCCTTCGACCTAAGATAAGGGAGTGAATCATTTTTCCCTCTACCTAATATCTAGTATAAAACGCGTATAGTGACTCACGCCCCGCTCACAATGTAAATTTGTAAAGGCTTGAATGGGGAAACCACGAACCAAAGTGATTAAACTCGTATCCTTATATTTTGACAACCAAAATAAACTCTGTAACTTAATGTCTTGTTTGTAGATATTTATCCAAACTTGCTATACCATGTAATAATTTAGGCATGGCGAACGTTCTTATTCGGGGAGTATTTTACTTAGGGCTGCATGTTTGATATCCTATCCTAATCCTAATATCTTAGGACAATGTCCTGATGATCAGGTTTGGGTCTAATAAAATGGCTATTAATATCAGAAGTCCCACGTGGTCTAGTAGTTAGGATTCGGCGCTTTCACCGCCGCGGCCTGGGTTCGATTCCCGGCGTGGGAACTTTTCATTTTGATTGTCTTCTGAACTGGTTATTAATTTTTGTGCGAACGATTTACCTTCATAGCTAGTATCCACATATTTTAACCCAAAGGAGAAAAAAACAACAACAAAAACATAAAAAAGTAAAAGTTAAAACAACAAAACAACAGAAAAAGAAAAGCAAAATAAAAACAACATCTCTCTTTGCTGAGCTCATGAATATAATGATGGGTAAGTATCAATGAAGAGAATCAACATTAAGTATTTATCTTAGAGACCGGCCATTCTTCATCGCCGGAGAGGGGTGGAGGATTTTGGTTGTCTCTAAATAAAAGTTATCTGAGCAAGAAAGACGATAGGCTTATAAAGACAAGCTAAACTAATTTAACATTTTTGTTTTCACCAGTTTTAATCAAATCCTGTATCAAACATGCTCTTGATGTGTTTTGAGTATTTGGTTGGCGCTGTCAGCCAATTGTTAGCGATCCATTTTTCTCCCTTGATGACGTCACATCCTCCATGATACGTGGAGCGGTCCACTGCTCCGAGCAGACCACTGTCTGGGTCGATGAAATTGTTGTACCACATAATGGCCGTGCCCTTCATTGGAGGTAGTACTAGGTTCGCTGAATGACAATTGATGCTGAGATTGAATTCATTTGTCGCGGCTTTTGAATTTTCAATTTCCTGAAAATAATCCAAATCAAACAAAGGAAAGAATAACTCCCCTTGAAGCTCGATGCATACAACACTACTAGTTGTGTGCATGCTGTGCTTGCGTTTTAGTGCAAACACGACTCACTTTCTTATGCATATTTTTTGGGTAAAAATTTTTCAAGACGATGCCGCAGTTTACTGCAGAAAGTCTTCAGGGACATGCTGTTACTGATATTTTAAGCCAAGGGTAAACTAAGAAATATCATACGAAGAGGTCGCCTACATATACGGCGCTCTAGTGAGCAAGGTCAAGTATGCATCGAGAGCTTTAGCACTCTAAGATCAGTACTTCTACGCAAAAAAATAATTCATTAGCATGTTATGATCTTCAAGATTAAATAATATGATATATCTCTTTGTTTAGTAAAATTCAGACTTAATATTTAATATTTAGGAAAGAGATCTAGGAGGAAAAAATGAATCAGTATCCCTTACCTGCCTCTGTATTTGTGTTCTATGAAAGACCATTAGGTTGCTTTGTTCATTAAGAAAAAGATTGTCAAATTGGAAACTACGGTTTTTTCTCTTTTCATTTCCTTTTTTTTCCTTGAAGAATTGCGTTGTCTATGATCAGGATCAGTTGTTGATATCCTTGTTGAATAAGCTACCCATAGTGTATAAGCTGCGAATTTGAGTATGCGGAAAGTTGAGTTACTTACATCTGGAGTGGTTGTAGTGTTATCAGCTATCAAGAAAGCTGTTTCTCCTCCTTCTTCTACATTGTTAAGATAATACAAAATAGTGATAAACCTGAAAGAGAAAATTTGGTCATATCACATGGTAGTTAAAAAACCTCGTGACCCACCATAAGCAAAACTTAACCATGATAATCCTCACTCCCTCACCCGAATACACACTCGATCATTCACTCATAAATTAAACTCACTCGCTCACTCATTCACTCATTAAGATCACTCACTCCTCTTCAATCCAAAGGTTTCGTGCGAACCCAGTCACTCATTCACTGACACAATAATTCGTACGCATCCAATCACTGATACACGTATCCACGCACTCATATAACGCGTGCGCGCACCAACTCACTGAGTCACTGACTCATTGACTCGCTGAAACACTGACACTTTGATTCACTGACTGACTGGTTGACAACTCTTTTCAGTCTCACTCACTCAATCACTCGTTCGTTCTGTTTCTCACCCAACGTTCGCTCACTCGCTTTCTTGTCCATTCGTACGCAGCTCGTAAGTACTATAGTTTTTTCTTTGTTTCATTTATTCTTCGCCATTCTTTCAGATGCATTTCCCGAGTAACCTCCTAGGGTGAAAATCTTACCTACAGACTCTGCAGTCGGGTGCTCTGAGATGGTTTTGATGACAGCAAGGGACTGTGGGGTCTTTTATGGTAGAATCCAGGTGGCCGTGATAATGACCAAACTTCTCATAACGAAGAACCTAAAAAGTAAAAAATAGCAAACTTTCTCAAAATTCACAAGACTTCGAAATGGTTCCACGTGTAGCAGTGGTTACATTTTACCAGGTAGGAAACTCAATGGCTTTTCAATCACTGCTGTCGTGCACACTCGTCTCAACAAGTAAGAAATCAAACAACCCGTTTGGTATATTATCATTAAAAATTCGTTATTTTAAGACTGTTAGAAATTTCAGGAGCGATTTATTAGCGATTAAGTAAGTTCCCACGTGGTCTAGTGGTTAGGATTCGGCGCTCTCACCGCCGCGGCCCGGGTTCGATTCCCGGCGTGGGAAAGCTTTATATCATTCTAGGAATTATTTTTTAACTTCATTTTACAAGTGATATGAAATTTATGGAGTTTAATTTCCTTCTAAATGTGATTAGCATATCTAATATCCTGCAAACAGTAACTGGATCGGCACAAAATCGTTATTTACCTGCATTGGTTCTCCCCCTTGGACTATCCTTCTCGGAAGTTTGGTTAGCCTTATAACCCTAACACAAAATACATAGATATTTAATGCGCCAAACCTTACAAAACTTAATCTTATAGAATCTCTCTTGATTTCAATCGCACATCCTGGCAATATTTTGTCATTGACTCAAATTTCAAAATACCTTTCATGAAGACGTCTCAGAACAGGGTCAGCGGTTTTGTCCTGCCGTAACCAGGCCTGCTGGCTAAAACGAAACCTATGGCGTGGGCTTTTGTCTTTCAAAAAATTCATGTACCGCATTATCTTGTTGATATTCAACTTGTTGAAAAATTGCTCTTTTATTCTCCCTGAAATTTAACAAACATTCATTCAGTTCTTTTTTTGTAAATGGTTCAGATAGTTTCCCTGAGGTAGCTTTTCACATTTTGAGTGATAAGAAATTTATGTTGACAAGGGTTATATTGTTCCGATCATGTCTCTGTGGAAAGTCTACACGTATCTTTATTTATTTTACCTACCATCTCTGAGCTCATCATTGATTTGAAGGTGTTTAACCCTAAAAGATAAAAAGTCGTTGATTAAGAAACGGCCCATAAAGTTGCCGGTACTTTTGGGAAACATGCCCCGGCTACGAGAATCGAAATCAGGCGGCAGCACGAGAGAGCATGCGCTGTCACCATTGCAACATCCTTACTCTCCAAATGTCAAGAAGCGTCAAAGGTACGATAAACTTTATAATGCACAATCCTATACGTTTCTGTAGGAGATTTCTCTTGCATTTTCTCATCAGCTGGCTTCATTCATTTCCTACCTTCACGTTTCAAGGTAACCTCCTGAGAACCGTGTAAACCTGTTATAGACAACTGCTTGTTGAAACTAGAGTAATACTTATAAGTTGAATACTCTACTAATCCTGAGAAAGTAATGCGGTCATGGGTTCATGTCGTCATAAAATTAAGCCTAGCGTCTTCAAGTTCGTCGTTTGTAATCTGTATTATTCTTCTTCATCCTTAAATCATAAATTTCCTCTTTAAATGCTCCTTTATGGTTATTCCTTACATTGCAAAAATGAGCCGAAATTCTCGGGACGCTCTATTTTTTAACAAAGGGAAAACAACTACAGTCAAATGTTCTTACATTTCTTGCACTTCTTCATCATCCAGATAGAGTTGTTTGTGTTTTCCAGCAAATGCCTTCACCTTCAACAATAAAAGCAATTTGATTTTTTGGTAAACGATCATAAGACCTCCGAGCACTTTAATTTTATTACATTACGCAAGTGACTTCCCAAATGCAGTACCTCTTGTGCATCAATGGAACCATCACCATTTGCATCCCAAAGACTGTAGTTTCCAGCAAATGCTTGCTCAGGCGCGAGAGTCCAGTCACTGTCTTAAAAGAAATAGGTCAGAGAGATGTTTTCTGCTGGCTTATTGTGGAGTGTGGTCAATATCATAATATATCTCAATATCATAATGGATTTTAGACTTCTTTAATAATCATGGTTGAGCTGGAATACAGTTAAAGTACTCAAGAGAAAAAAAGAATCTGATCCCGACAAAAAAAGGCTCAATTTAATTTCTTTGCATTGTTCACGTGTAGCAGGGTCATGAGCTGACTTGCGCACACCTGTTGCGGCTTACCACGTTTCCAAATTTTTTTGCTTCATTAAAATGCTCAAAAAAATTAATTGATCTAAACTCTGAAAATTGTTTTGGTCATTTTCCGTAATTCTAGATCCAGCTCACCAGCTAGGGCTAGTTCCTCGTCCAAGTCTCCGTCGTAGGTGAAATATCCTGAAGTACTTGTCTGGAGTCCACTTTCCTTTGCCAGTGTTATGATGTGATCACACTCTTCCTCTGACAAGAAGTCGGGAATCTCTACGTACAGCGAAATCACAACTGGGAGCATTAGAAAACTTTCGAAAAAATATCGAGTATCCAAAGCATTTGGGAACCTATTCTCCGTGAGCATGCGGTTATTTTCTCCTTCCACGAAGGAAAGAGAAATCAGTGCAGCAAACGTTATTTTGTTTGATGTATTCGTCATCCAGCACCCTGGACGAATTTATTAACTTTGATTCATTCGCCAGTCTATCGAATTTTTCGGTTTCCTAACACATATACCCTAATCCATGTCGCAGCTACGTTTGATAAGGCGAGCAGTGTGGCAATATAAATGGCCATCAAAGCTCAGCGAACTGTCTCTAAGGGTTAACGAGAGTCCATTTCTCTCTAATTGTCCAATCCAAGAGGCTGGAAATGTGGATCATCTGGAAAATGCATAATTGTTGAGCTGCTGTCCGAATTCTACTGCGGTCGAGTCGATCCTCGCAGCCAAATAATGTCATGGTGTTGGCATTTGCGACTACAACAACAGCCTCACAATGACAGATTCATAGTTTTAGTCTTTTTTTGTGTGCTTCTTTTAATTTTCCTTCGCATCTACTTTATGAATACCACAACAGCATGGCAACTATAAACCGGTGAATGATTATGCAATGCGAACAGTTATGAAGTTTAATCAAATTATATGGGAGCCCTTGTTACCAGAGAGCGAAAGTCTATAGAGGAGTTGCATTTGACCGTACTTTCAGCTAAATTCACCGTGCAATTGCAACGTAACTATACCCTGTTGATAACTGATGCGACCACTATGCGCAGTGCATGTAGAATAAAGTCAAATCCAACTCTTACTCTGCTGCTAGTTTACGGAATTTTCATTTCCACAGTTGAAAATTTCTGTGAGCCCGGTTAGCTCAGTCGGTAGAGCATCAGACTTTTAATCTGAGGGTCATGGGTTCAAGTCCCATATCAGGCGCAAAATTTTTTTCTCCTTTTGGTTGTCAACACTTACTTTTATCAGTGTCTTACTTAAAACTGATCTAATTCGAAACAATTCTTAAAGAAAAGATCACACAAATACAACTTCAAGAGAAAGAGTTACATACCAAGAACTAATGGTGTCATTGCTCGAGTGATGAGTTTTACGGGCTTCCTCCCATCGTCGACTTCCAACCACTGCACGTGACCTGTCTGTACGTAGACGATGTAAATTAAAAGTAAAGAGTTATACCCTTTGAAATGGATTGTGTAGCCTTTTTTATCTTAAATCAAAAGCAAATAATTGAATAAAATGGTTTAAGAATCGTGAACTTGACACCGGAATACAAAGGCTGAATAATCAATGGAGATGTAGAGGGATTCGCATGGCGAGGCAAGTTTAATCGGTCCATAAGAGAGGAACAACCTTCGGATTGTTATGAATTAAAACAAACAGTTGAAACAGATTTAAGTTGGTAGACAATGTCGGGTGGCGATTTTTATGAATACACTGCGTGGATTTTGAATGCATTCGCGTAACTTCAAATGAAGCTGTTGCATGGATTTGCCCCACCTACGTATTTGGTCAAAACTGAACGTGCATTTTACTGAGATCAAAGTTTTCTAGTACAAATAAATCGAGGACGCTTGATGAACATTTGGATGTGATTTCATTCTCTTTTATATTTCAAGATAACTACCTACAGGGGAATTGGAATTTATCGAGGAAATCAAATACTGAGAGATTTCAATTGCGTAAGCAAAGTAGAAAAACGCGATTACTTGACAGTGACAAGCCACATGGAAAAAAACAATCTCGAATTTAGCGGAGAGGGAAGACCAGAGTTAACAGGTTCACTTTTTTACGAACAAAGCTCTTTTCTCGATTGATTTCTGTTTACCTGCACTTGCAACCAGCAACCAGCTAAGAATAACAAAAAAAAACAACCTGTGCCAACAAATTGGAAACTGGTATTAGAAAGCGAAAAAAAAAGCAAGCCGGTGACCTACGGAACTTATGTAAAGTTCCACCGAAAAAAAGCCAGTTTCCTTTTCTAGGTACATATACGTATTAATAACTATTTATTTAGTTACCTTCACTCCCTCCAAGCGGACAAGCTTGAACTGTTTGTCTGATTTCCCGTGACAAGAGTTACTTGGATCGGTGCACGTGTTTTCTATTTGATCTCCGACAAAACAAGGTTTCCAAAATTTCTTCAAATTACCACGATCACCACAGGTCCCATTTAAAAAAACGGAAATGAAAAATACGCGAAATATCCACACAAACCTCATCTCCTATCCATCCCTCGGGTTTTCGAATAGAGAAATTCTAATTTTCAAGCGAAATAATTGTGTACACAGAAGAATTTAACAGTCAAAGTTAATTATTTACTCACTCGCTCTTTTCATACTTTTCCAGGGTTTTACACGACGTATCTAACTAAACTTGTCGTTTCTAATCACGTGTTTGTAAATCGAGTGCTCAAAGTGAATGCCTTTCCAAGTGAAACTGATATAAAAAATTGTGCTTTTGAAACCATGAAGCCATATTGTCGTGGGAGCAGTATGATCCATTTGAGATCAGTGGCATCACATATTCGTCAACCATGAATTCCACCGATAAGTTAACATGTTTCTTCATGGAAGTATATTGGACAAAGACAGTACACGATGTCACAGTGAGTGTCATATCATGTCTATTTAGCAGCGTCTTTGCACTGTCTGCAGTATTTGGAAATGGAATCGTCATGCTCGTAATCTGGAAGAAACGAGAACTTCATTCGCCATCGTTCGCTCTGTTATTTTTCTTAGCAACGTCTGATTTTCTTGTGGGATTTGTTGGCCAGCCCTCATTCGTTGCCTACAAGGTAGCGGAGAGTCTCAAAAAATTCAACGCGTATTGTAACTTGCGAATGATTGAGTTCTTTTGTGGATGGATAACTTCGAGTGTGTCCTTTATCATCCTCGGTGCAGCTTCTGTCGACCGACTCCTCGCCTTAACGCTTCACTTGCGATACAAAAGCACGATCACAGTGTGCCGCATTACGATAGCCATGATAGCAGTGTGGGTTTTTTGCTGTATTGTCACCATTTTGAAGTTTTGGGTTCGAAACTGGGTCATCATTCCGGTTTCTCTTGTTGTTGTGAATATTTTTTCATCCACATTTTGCACGTGGAAGATATATCAAATTGCACGAAGACATCAAAGCCAAATAAATAGCCACATTAAAAAAATAGCTCACTTGAGAAACGTACGAAACAGGTCACAAAACAACCCAGTTGATGCTTTTAATTGTAAAAAATCAGCCACTACCGTAATTTATCTTTATGGTATTATGCTGATGTTTTATCTGCCATTTATTGCAGTCAGTGCAGTAGAAGCGATTCAAGGCTATACGTGGTCGATAAAAATCGCTTATGATTATGCAACAACGATTGTATTCATAAACTCGTCGGTAAATCCTTTTATTTACTGCTGGAGAAATACGCAAGTACGCCGAGCCATATAAAGCTATTTGAGAAAGCTAAGTTTTCGTGATAATTCAGGTACAGCTGAGGGAACTGTACATTCTAATTAAAATTAAACATGATTCAGTTTGATGATTGTCTGACTACAGATACTTAGCCTACCTACATTAATGATTTAAATAACTATATGATTATTTGTACAGATTAATTGTTTTGGGCGGAATAGGAAAATAAAAACTTGTTAAGCTTTAGCCTAAGAGATGTTTGCCTCATTATATGTTCCATTTGGACATTAATCAGTCGTTTTAAAGATAAACAGCACGTCCGACACTGGACTGATTGCCGCCAACTTCAACTTTTTGATCTGTCTGAGTTTAATCAACTTATTCTTAGTGTACCATGTTTAATTTTACATGTTTATTTTTTATATAAAATCAGGTGAGAATGCTCCCTTGGTTATCTAAGAGGTAACAAAGACGAGTAGCGATATATTCTGCAACTCTTTTTATATTCGATCTCTTTAGCGAATGTTTGATAACCAGTGGAGTGACGTTTCAATGTTCTTTCAATGGAACTTCAAGTTGCGATGACCGCATAGGAAATATGACAGGTCTGTCACCACTATACACTTCGCCTGTCACCATTCAACATTAGCAAAATGTCAGTTATTATCCTTTTATGAAAAAATTAAAACATTGATAACAATCGATAAACTGCCATTCTATAAAAAACTGTCCATTGCCACAGTGGCTTATTCCTAACAGTCAATTGTCAGAGATAACACCTCCTTGAGACTTTCCAATTTTTTTATGATCATTTTCCTGTAGTATAACGTCTGCGTGCTAGTGTCAACAAAAACTGTGTGTTAATATACAGTTTTAATTGCGGGACCGTTTGAATTCGAATAAGTGTTTTAAAATTTACCGTGTAAAAGACTTTGAAAAATTACCGTGGATATCAATGTGACCGTCAAAGCTCTCAAATTAACCAGTCACAGACAGAAGCATCTGTTCGCCGTCTTTTTATCTTCCTCGTAAACGTTAGACGCGTTAGAGAGTCTATCTATGGCTTATCCACGTCCGTCAGAACCGTCAGCCTAACTGTTAAAAGTAACTGATAGGGGAGACATGGAAGGGGTTAAGGACTTTGATCATTACGGTGTTAAATCAGGTAGGGTTTGGAAAAGAACTAGGAATATGCATTCACGTGTTCATCTTTTCAACTATTGACAGAAAGTAGAGGAACACAATTGAAATTGGCAAAATATTTCATTCGAACAGCAATGTGGAAGTCAATTTTTAGCCCTCGTCTTCTGGACTGATGCAAAACTCAAATATATAAGAAAGAAAGAGCCCTGAGTAACGCAAACTATGTGGAACTTGCAGACACAATATGTGGAGCTGGGCTTGAAATGGAAATCAAAATGACATATAAGCGTAAAATAGGGTCAGTATAGGTCAGGGTAAAATAGAGTCAGCATTTGGAAATCATGCGGCAGTGATAGTTGCTCAAATGCGCGTGCAATTACATGGGTGATGTTGATTCCTCTGTAGTCTGTCTTTCCCTTGGGAACGTCAACCTTGTGAATGGGGGTTACGTGAGCTCTTTTCTACGATGAGGGCCAAGTACTGAACGTCAGGGACAAGTTCCAGATCCCGCACATTAAACGTGTAAAAATTTCCGCGTGGTCTCTCCACACCCAGAACGGTATGAGGTCCGGTCCAGTGGCGGTTTTCTTCAGATGCTGCAAACAGTTCCATAACAAATCAAAACAATCACAAAATTCTCGAACGTGCTCGGTTATCACCAGTTCGATTTGAGCACCAAGAGGACAATGTACGAGTCATGCTTGTAATTGGACAGTGTCATAGGATAGTTGACACGTCATGCCTATGTCAGTGGACAGTACCTGCGCTGTTGTTGTGCATTTTGCCGAGTTATCTGTTGCTCAGTTTCATGAAAACGTATCACCTGTTTGATTTATCAAATTTTGTCATAGTTGAGCCGGATTAATTGATAAAAGGACTTCTTGTCGTCCAATTCTGTCTGTTATTATAGTCGTATTTATTAAATTGGACACCCGCTACGCGGCCGTCCGATTTTGTTATTCGTTCGTATGAGTTTAACGATTGACTCATTAACTTAAGTACATTTAGTAATTAGTACAAGTGCACCTCAAAACTTTGCAATGAATCTGGGAATCCAAACTGAAGTCAAAATGATATCAGCTTTTACCTTTATCTACTCTACTGCCCTCCTTTCTAACTTACTTTTTATTCCATGATTCTGTCTGTTGATTTGACGCTCGTGCGTGCAAGCGATATGAAAAACTTTATCTGAGCAAAACGCAGGTGTTTTAGTTGCCGATTAATGAACAAAAAACACCGATAATGATTCAGTTTCGCACCCAAAACTTAAATAAAGTTGCGATTGAGCAACCAGCCAAATTGCTATCAATGTAGTAACCACACGTCGAACTGTAATGACGTTTTTGTATTGTCTGAAGAGAATTTGTGAAAAAATACTTAGTGATTGGTATGACGCGGCGTTTCGACTCGGCCTAGAGACTCATCAGATACTTTTCGTGAATATCAAGCGAACTCGTCGACAGCGCGCTCAAAGTCCCGTTTGTGAATTCAAGGTGTCAGCAGTCTGGCCCTCTATCGCAGAGAGATTCCCAACCGCACGTTCACGAGTTACAATATATTCAATGAAAATTTTAGAATTACAGCGAGATGTCGGTTGGAGAGAAAGAGGGCACCGTGTGAAGCTCCATATAATTAACACAACAATGCCTTTTCCTAATATTGCAGTCAATGTAACCAGAGCGTACAAATCACATATATAAAACGAAACATCCAGTTATTTCTAGTCCGTCAAAATTGCCTTTAAATTCAAAGAAAAACATGTCAAGTTGGTTTTACTCACAGCCGATATAGACTTGTTGACCATTCAGTACCACTTTGCACGAAGTGTGAAAGGTTTTTGAAGTGGCCTTTTGTGAGTCAAATTACATGCTTGGGTAATCAAAATTTCTGGCCACTTAAAGAAATGTTACAAATTAAAAAGTAACTCTACTTATGCAAGTCACATTAGGCGCCTCAGTACACTATGCACCTGCAAATACAATAGATATTAATATTCACAGACGGGCTTTCGTCGATGCCACATAAAAATTTGAGCGACATGTTTTTTCGTAAATTTCGTCCAATTTAATCAGTTCCAATCGACTGTTTGAATATCTGATTCATTGCCAGAGGTCCTATTAAGCCTTTCCTAAACATCAAAAAGATTCTGGGGCTTTCGCAAGATGAAGAAGATAAGGCAATATGAAAACGGATAAATATATTTTTTTGTTATTAGTATATGGGCAAATAAGGGCACATGTCTGAGAGTGTTGGTCTTTGGTAGTTATTCCCTTTTTTCTGCCTGATAAAAACTTGAAACTTTGCAATGTCAACATTAAATAAATTCAAAGACCGCTTGCTTCTTTTAAGTTTATCAAAGAACAAAATTTCCAAATATATAAAGATCTGGATCCAGTTGTATAAAGGGCGCAGAATGCTATCCGGAGGATAATGAATCGCTATCCAGCGGATGAGTGATGGCAAACCGTACAGCGTTATCCACCGGATAGATATTATCCTGCAGATAGCGTTTCCCGACCTTCGAACAACCGGGACCTGATTAGTGATATGTTATAGCACAAGAGGGGAATCGATAAAATTCAGTCACAAAACTAATCAAGGCTGATACTTATTGTATTTCTCAGTTCTTCGAACTGACAGTTTGAAATCATAGTGAATGGCGTCTTCTTGTAAACAAACAACGTTTTTTATTTTCATCCTGGCCCCGAAGGGTGGATAACGCTATGCACTGGATAAATCACTATCCGTTAAATAGCACAGTATGTTTTGTGAAACACTTATCCGCTGGATAGCGATTTATCCGTTGGATAGAGTTATTCGCCCATCGAACAAACAGGGCCTGATTTCTGGCATGCTGCTGGTAACCCGAATGGACCTCTAGTCTATAAAAGATAACTGTGCCATTTTGTTGTGGGGAAGTAATGGCTTTTCCTTGACTTCCCAGATGTGCTAATGTGCCAACGATATCTGTGACGATCGATGTTCTGAAAGTAGAGAAAAAGTAATAATAAAGAATGATCTGTTATGAGCTCCAATTGCTCAACTGAGAGGGTAGCAAAGAAACCGAAAGTAATTTTGAGTATCAATGCAAAACAGATCTCAACGATAATATCACATATTTTTTTTTTTATCAGTTATTTATTTACACACTTATTTATTCATTTTGCACATACATCTTTTATTTAATCATAGTATAGTACGAAAAAAGTCAGGGAAACTGCGAAATATTGCTGTAAATAAGCTGTAAATCCATACTCTCCAATAGGAAACTATTTCCAAAATGCCATAAGCAGTTTTCGACGTGACAAATCTCTAACTCTTACTCAGTTAAATAGAAAGCAAAGGGAAACTACTTTCAATTTTACGAAAATTTTAAGATCTTTCAGAACCGGCCGCCAAACCAACAAGCTGAATACAGCAAGATGATGCAATTCTTGGGCAAATTAATCTCCCGAAAAACCTTTTAATGCCGTTTCGTATTTGTTTCATTCTCCAGCAGTAGATAACGGGATTGACGGACGAGTTTATGAAAACGATCAACGAAGCCCACTCGTAAGCGACTTTAACTAAATTTGTTTTTCCTTTGATAATTTCCACAGCCATAACGGCAAGGAAAGGAATATATAACATCAACATCAAGCCGAAAATATAAATTACTGTCATGGCAGACTTTTTACATTTACGTACGTTAAAGTCCCCCGCCAAGGACGGGTTAAGTGTTAATGCAACGTTCTGTTCCTTAATGCGCCGCTCGTGTCTTCGCGCAATTCGAAAAATTTTACCAGTACAAAACGCAATTACTACAGCAGCCGATAAATTAGTACAAACTGCGATAATGATCCAGTTTTGCACCCAAAATTTCAATATGGTCAGAATGGAGCAAACCAGCCAAACAACGATCACTGCTATTATCACACGTCGTACTGTGATGATGTTTTTGTAACGCAAATGGAGGATTAAAGCGAGGAGTCTGTCGACAGAGATGGCACTAAGTGTAATAAAAGACACACCAGAAGTTATCCACCCAGAAAAAAACTGAATCAGTCGCAAGTTACAATACGCGCTGAAATATCTGAGGCTCTCCGCAATCTTGAAAGCAACGAAGAATGGCTGGCCAACCAATCCGACAAGAAAATCTGACGCGGCCAAAAGCAGCAGCAAAACCAAAGATGGCGAATGTAGCTCCCGTGTGCTCCATATTACAAAGATGACAATACCATTTCCCGAGATCGCAGTCAATGCGAGCAGAGCGCACAAAACGCATAAGACAACACTTGCAAATGTTTCTTTTTCGCCCTGTTCCCATCCAGTATAAAAGAAAAAGCACGTAAAGTTGGTCGCAGTCATGACAAACTAGAAGTCTATGAGGAGTCACCCCAGTTTTAAGCTTTTTCTATAGCTCCTGCTTCAGAAAATTAAACTCTAGCATTCATCAAATTTTAGGCTCATTTGCCAATGAGCAATGCAGAAGGTATATTTGTTCCTGCCTTGAGCTCCCCGTCTCAGAAAATTAGGCGGCGAAAAAACAATTAAACTGTTTAGTTCAATTGGTGCTAACGAGCTTTTTCAATGGCGCCATATTAAACGCAAATTTCAAATATACTTGTTCTAATATATCTTCATTTGAAAACTCGCCCCATTCAATCAACTTTCATTCGGTTTTGCATGCATGGCAATCTTTCTTATGTCCTCATTTTTTAAATTGCGAGATTTTCCAGGCAGCACATTCACCTGTGTTGAAAATACAAATGAAACTGCTTCAAACTCAGTAACCATTGATATTCTTGCGAGTATCTGGAAAGACGGGCAGCTGTCTCCGAGTATATTAATGAAGCCATGTCAATTCGTCTTCAATTTACCTTAGACAAATATTGAATCAACAAATGGGCCATTAAAAGGATTTTTACAATATCGAAGTTGAATGAATTGAGAAATTTACTTTAGTTTTTTTCATGGGAGAAGCTTAACATAGAGAGTTTCTAGAAAGTTCCAGGAAGCTTGGTAATCCCATGTGAATGAAGAAGCATTTTAATTGAACGATGTAGAGTTTCTGAAATATTCCATAATACTATAATGATGAATATAGTAATTCTGCAAGCTCCTGGAACCTTCTAGAATGCTATATGTGTAAAAGAACAAAATTACCTAGGCGATTGTCTAGATCTTGATGACTCAGAAACACAGACTCAAATCAAAGGCCTCCCAACGAGCAAGATTTCCTATATTTAAGACTCTCCTCAACCTTCATGTGCATGTGGGAAGTACTTTTCCGAATCAAATGTCAATCAAAACAGCACACGCTGTTATTACGTAACTAGACAAACCGAAGGAAATGGAACAAAGCACGTACAAGATTAAGCGATTTTCATTTTTTATCTTGAGTTCTGAAAAAAAACTTGATATGCATCTATCGCTTTTTTCGTTGAAAATAGTTATCAAAATGGTCTTCTTTAACTGGAGTTTGTTTTTGGGAAAAGAAGAAATATAAAATTTACCGCTCACTGTGCTTGCTATTCCCGGATTCTCCAAAATTTAACTTTTGCACATGCACGCGTTACACTCAGGTGTCGATGGGTTAAAGCAATTCTTAGTTACCTCCAATCTCCAACTGACTGCATAAGGAGCTTGGGCCCCTCTTGGCAAAATAGCAGACACGTACAACCACGCGAGACTCTTGAGTCAACTGATCGTTGTAAGCAGTATTTTCCACTTCTCCCATAACGACTATTGTGGCTTATTTAAAAGTGCTACTCTCATAAATCCATCATCTTCCTGGAAGGTTCATCAGTCTAGATCTAAGAATTCCAGAACCTAAATTTCGTCCCCACGAACGCACTTTATAATCAATGATCATTCCTTGCATAAGAACAGTTTAGAGGGGCTTGCTCGAAAGCCTCATAGTTCCCAAATCCGGTCTGGGCCTGGGCTCTAACAATGATTACCTATGCTAATTTTAATTTCACTTGGTTATTATCAATAATTTCCTTATTTTATTGCAGTTCTACTCTTGTAGACTTTTTTTTTTTTCATACAAAAAGGCATTCCGCGTTTTAAGATATTCCGTCATTCCGCGTCTTACGATATTCCGCCATCCACTCATCCACCGTTCCACGGTTCTATCAGATCTGTTGAATAACTCAAGGTAAATGTAGCGGCTCAATTTGGGCATAAGTCGTTGATTCAAACAGTAAATTGCTATTTTTCCAAAGAAAAAATCCTCAATCCCCCATGATGAGCAGGTCATATCTATTAAGAAATGTCTGCAAGAAAAAGTTTTGATTTTATTTTATGCATCGGTGGATGCCACTGTGAAATTATTTTGAGATGTTTATCATCAGCAACGGGAAACACCGGGTCAAAATTGGGTCAAGATCGGAATATTCGATTGTTACACTCACTCACTCACCTACTTACTAATCCCGAAAACAAATATGGCTACGCCTCCCATAGGAGGCAGAGGCCACAAAAAAAAGAAAGTTCTTTCTTGGTTTTCAGTTGCTTGCATCATTGGTGACTGAAACTTCGCCCTAATATTATTACGATGGCGTGATGCTTCCCCATGAAGTTTGCATCGGTCGCTCAGCGGTAGTACTACATGTAAAACCTAGTTGCAATATAACATGGGCACTCAGCTCGAGTCCACAGTAGATTCAGTTTTTAAGAAGGTGCGCCCCTTTAATAGTTACCTTGCTAAGCGTAGTTAGATAAATAAGTTAGTTGTAAGGGACATTTTTTGTGTTGGTTAGATTATTCAAAATTATTCGCATGCATACAGCGAAGAGAAAACTTATTTGAAAGTCGACGAGAGAGCAACACAGACGATCTCCATTGTTTTCATACCTTTTCACCTGTACAAAATAAGGTCACATGTAGGCATGTCCTGCATAAGCACTAGCAAACATTGATCTCCTGTCCATTTTTTTATAGGTTACGCCTGGTGACTCGAGGATAACAACACTAAAGATCACTCACGAAAAAATGCACGAAAACGGGTCAACCGCCGAGTTATCTCATGCAACTTAAAATATTGAATACACAACCTGCAAATCTGCAGGAGATTTGATCGATTATCTTACAGAGCTGTGCTTGCTACCCCACATAGAACTTCGTTAAGAAGAATGTGAGCTAATTTAACAAATTTTGTTGCGGGTATGTTGTCTTCACCCTTTACTACAACACCACCATGTACGCGCATATATTTCAAGAGCATCGTGGTTGAAATTGACCCCGATGTAAATAACTTGATAAGAACAACCAAATCGAAACCAAGAATAAAAAGCATTTTCACTCACGCCCGACATTCTCACCGGGCTAAACCGCGGAGAAACATGTTGTAGAACTTCGCTGACTCGAACTCTAAAGGGAAACAGTCTCTCCTTTCACGCGAATTCCGTCGGGCGAGTAATAAACAAGTCTGTGTCAAAAAAATTGATGTTCGCGCACCCTGCAGTGCGGAACTTTGGGAGTCTCTTACTCTCATAGTTCGCAGCGCGCTGACAGCGATCAAAACTTTTTTTCAACGATTTTTTTAACGGTATCCGGTCAATTTGCCACCACAACAAACTCGCCACCACTGAAAGTCAAATCGCCTTCGGTGGCGATTGACTTTTTCGTTATGTTTAGCCTGTCGTATGAAACTTGCATTAATTGAAAGCTAAGATGAAGCAGTGCATTGAAGAAGATTGTGATAAGTTTGCGTAGAGCGAACCCAGAGGGATTTTCGCCGAGTGATATTCGCTTAGTGATTTTCGTCGATGTTTATGAAATCGTATGAAACTTAAATCAAATAAAGGCGTAGAAGTAGCAGTATTTTGCGAAGTTTACAGAAACGGATTTAGCGTCCTTTCTTTGTTGAAAAGCCGCACAAAGAATGTGGACGTGACAGTACAGTAATTTATGACGTCGATTTAGCGTCTGTTTTGTGTGATTAGCAAATAGAAATTTAACAGCTTTCTTGCGTAATAAGTTTTGTCTTACTTCGCTCTTGTACGACGCTTTTTTTTTTCATTTAATAGTTCTTTTACTGTTGATAAATCTTTTTCGTGATATCGTGAGGTTCGGCCGTCTATAGGTACTAACGACAAGTTTTGTCCTCACAAACACAATTCGTAATCAAACCTAATCAAACTTATATCAAATGAAAGCCTAGATTCTGAAGTTTTACTCATCCTTTTAGTTTTGATGATGCGAAATTGAGAGTGTGCGCAAAATTTTGCTCAAAGCGAGTTGGCGTCTTCTTGAAATTGGTCACTTTGAATTCATTAATACAATAAGTAGTATTCAAATTTTCGATCAACATCGTTGCAGAAGCCTTCTGCAACTTTGAACTAGCCGCCAGGATTAACCTCCGCTTGACTCTATTTCTCGTTACGCAATAGACAACTAGAATAAAACAAGATAGCTTTCGCCTCCGCAATCAGATAGAGGTACCTGTGTCCGACACCATCACTGACGTTGCTTAAACTGACAAAGTTCACTGGAGATATTCAAGCCTTGTCCGGCCATTTTAGGGGCGAATCATAGTGGAGCGTATGCAAACTTCTAAAAAATCACGAGTATACGCCTCTCAAATTCTTTTCCCGATGAGACCTGCCACGGTAGAAAATAGCCACTTGAGTAAGTTTGGTCTTCCATAGTTTTTTTTGGAAAAGAAAAGAATGCGGAATAGGAAATAGTCAATGATAAAGTCATAGATAATTTAGTAGTATTGGCAACATAAGCCTCCTTTTTAGAAATTCAATGCAATTCGTTGGCTAAGAACTTATAAAAAGGCACTACTGTGCTGGGCAGTTCTAGTTTGAAATCGATTGAGATTCCTAACAAGCATATACTGCTCTCAAGAAGTTCGAAAGAACTCCTCTGTAGCAATCATGAGAAACATTTTGAATAGAGGCATTTTTTTTTTGAGATTGTATGAAGGTGGCTAGCGTTTGGTCACAGGCTTAACTAGAAGTAGGAAATGCTTACGACGTAAAATTTATGCAATTTGGGGAAGTTTAAATTATTTAAATAACCGCATTTATAAGGTCATAAGTTTCATCCGTCAAAAAAAAAACTTATTCGAACGTTTACAAAAAAAGGAATTCCCTGAAAGTTTCCATGATTTGCAGACACCTTTTGAGATATATTTGTAAGGAATAGCTTGGTTTAAATTGCGCGTTGGCGAAACGCTACCGTGAAATTATTTCCAGATCAGTTATCGCATTTTGTATATTTTCACGGCGAAAACTGAAATAATAATATTCTCGGATCTGCTAGGCATAATTCCTTGCTTCAAACGGCAAATGTTCTCGCTTCAAAGAAAAAAGTTTCCTTCTAATTTTTCATGATGCACCGATCACACCTAGCAATTAAGATATTTCTACAGGGAAAAGTTTTTTTTTCAATCACCCGCCGGCAAGAGGCCATCGTGAAGTAAGGGTGAGATGTGTATCGTCTTCTGAAGTGCAACGACAAGACCTGA